ACTAGAAGACAAACAGAGTAAAGTGCTACAGTCTTGAATTCTTGAACAACAGCTAGAAGACAGATTCTGTGGAAAAAGGAATCCTTTCTCAACAATTGGGTACGTCCAAACACCCACTTCAACAAAGAATCTTCAAATCACAATCTTCATTCAAAATTGAAGCCAGCAAATGCAACGGATAGTCTATTATGATTCAACGGATAGATTATCCAATCCAGCTATAAATAGCATCCTTGGAAGACTGGAGAAGATATGATGAGATACGTTGATACAACAACACAACGAAGCAATCTAACAACAAAGCTATCTCATTCACAGTCAGCCCAAAAAGCTTGATAAAAAGAGATTTCTAAACTCCTTATCCAGAAGCAAACTCCTCCTCCTTCCAAAGAGCTATAGTGTAAACACTTGAAGGTTTCCTTGCCTCAAGTACCACACCACGTTGAAGGATACAACTTTTGATCAAACTTCTTGATTAAAAGGGGGTAGGTCAACTTTCTTACAAGTTGATCTTGCAAGTCCTATTGTTCGGACGTTGCAGTTGTTGAAGAAGCGTAACCTTCGAATGAACAACAAAGCCAGCACGAGTGCAGTAGCAACATTGGCCTTGCGAAGATATACCGTGCAGAAATTCACACAAGTGTAATTGTTGGTTCATTATTCAACAACCAACTACATAGTGGATTTTGAGGACGTAGAAGGATTACCCCACCTTCGAACCTCGTTAAAGTTTGCGTGTCTCTCTCTTTTATCTTCACTCTTACTCGCTATTATATTAACTGTGAAAACTAACCCATCCATATTGATTACTGCTCACTCTACCCACCAAATTCCGCACACAATCTAAAGTTCACAAGAACTCTAGATTAACACTTATTTTCACGTTTTCAAAAGAAACGAAAAAGATTTTAAATCTGTAACAAAGTCTATTCACCCCCCGCTCTAGACTTTGTATTTCACCACTTTGGGACCACCAATTGGTATCAGAGCTTACTTCTCACTATCTACGTTTAGATTAACGAGAAGCGATCAAAATGGTGAACAATATGGATCACGGTTTGCCCAAGTTTTCTCTTCTAGGTTATGATGATTGGAAGATCATGATGGAAGCACACCTCTACGCTCTACATGATTGCATGTGGATGGTGCTTGAGGATGGACCCTTGAAAATTCAAATGGAGAATCCTGAGAGGAATCCAGCAACTCCTGATGTAGTCCAGTACATTCCAAAGCCCAAAGAAAAATGGGATGATAGAGATTGTAAAAAGCACAATCTGGACAACGTTGCCAAAGCAGCCATCTTCAAGACACTTGATCCCATCACCTTCTCCAAAATCAAGCATCTCAAGACTGCCATGGAGATATGGCAAGGTCTTGGGAAGCTATGTGAGGGATCAGAGGACTTGAGAAAGCAGAAAATAGAAGTCTTGCTTGAGAAGTTCAAAGGCTTCAAAATGCTTCCCGGAGAATCATTTGATATGTTGGATGAAAGATTCCACAAAATCTTGAATGATCTTGCCTCACTTAACCACATTCTTTCTCCCAAAGAAAAGAATGTAAGGTTACTGAGATCACTTCCAACTGAGTGGTATACCAAAGCCACAGCCATGGAAGAAGGAAGAAACCTGGAAAACTACACTGTCCAAGGTCTCCTTGATGAGCTCAGAACCTATGAGCACGAGCTGAAGAAGAAGAAGGAAGAACAAGTCACTCCCTTCCCCACGGCATTGATGACAACTCCAAGAGTCCCATCAAGTGAAGGGACATGCCCAAGAAGCTGTGACACACCCTCCTCCAGCCAGCCATCAAGCTTAAAAATGGAGAACTATGATGAGGAATTTGCCATGATGGTCAAGCAATTCTGGAAGTTCAAGAAGTTCTTCAAGAAGGCTGATTCAGTCAGAAGGCCAACCAAGGGAAAGCCACAAGTAAGTGACTCCCCTCCTGAATCTTACTTTTGTTATAACTGCAGGAAGCCTGGCCACTGGAAGTCAGCATGCCCGTACCCAAAGGTTGAGAAGTACAGAGAAAGAGAAAGAAACGAGAAGAAAAAGAAGGCAAGGGTTGCTGAAAGTGATGAGTCATCCAGCTCAAGCTCGGATGAAGAAGCCCTCGTTTGCATGGAGCGCAGAGTTGAAAAGTCCAACCATGAGGATAGGTGGACATTGTCAGAAGATGACACTCTCTGCCTAATGGCCAAAGATGATGCCAATCAAGAGGTAACCTCACAAACCTCCTGCTCATCTTCTTATGAAAGCATACCAACTTCTGAAAATCTTTTTGACCAGTTCAAAAAGATGATGGTAGATTTTGAGGAAATAAATCTCAAACATTCTTCCTTAACAGAGGAGAACAAACTATTGAGTGAAGAGAATCTCAAATTGACTGAAGGTCGGAAAAGTCAACTGGATGAGATCACTCAACTCAAGACTGAAAATGAATCTCTCTCTGAAAAGGTGAAATCCCTTAACAAAGAACTAGGGACACTTAAGTCCAAAGAAGCAGTGGATAAGCTTCTTGAAACGACCAAACATAAGGGTCGTGAAGGACTTGGGTTTGACCCCTCCAGTTCCAAAAGAAAAGGGAGAACAACCTTCATCCCTCCTAAACCTACTGCTAAACCAAATAAGCAGAAAGGAAAGGAAAAGGAGAAACCAACA